GAAAACATGTAAGCCAAGTCATGTGTGGGAAAACATGTAACCAGTGCCAAGCATAGGAAAACATGTGAGGCGAGTCATGTGTGGGAAAACATGTAGCCAGTGCCAAGCATAGGAAAACATGTAAGCCAAGTCATATGTGGGAAAACATGTAACTAGCGCCAAGCATAGGAAAACATGTAAGCCAAGTCATGTGTGGGAAAACATGTAACCAGTGTCAAGCATGGGAAAACATGTAAGGCGAGTCATGTGTGGGAAAACATGTAACCAGTGCCAAGCATTGCCGGAAAACATGTAAGACGAGTCATGTATGGGAAAACATGTAGCCGGCGCCAAGCGTAGGAAAACGTTAACGTGTAAGGCGAGTCATGTGTGGGAAAACATGTAAGCAGTGTCAAGCATAGGAAAACATGTAAGACGAGTCATGTGTGGGAAAACATGTAGCCAGTGCCAAGCATAGGAAAACGTGTAAGGCGAGTCATGTATGGGAAAACATGTAACCAGTGTCAAGCATAGGAAAACATGTAAGGCGAGTCATGTGTGGGGAAACAAGTGACCAGTACCAAGCATAGGAAAACATGTAAGACGAGTCATGTGTGGGAAAACATGTAACCAGTGCCAAGCAGAGGAAAACGTGTAAGCTGAGTCATGTGAGGGAAAACATGTAATCAGGGCCAAGCATAGGAAAACATGTAAGCCAAGTCATGTCTTGGAAAACATGTAGCCAGTGCCAAGCATAGGAAAACATGTAACCCATGTCATGTCTGGGAATACATGTAGCCAGTGCCAAGCATGGGAAAAATTTTACCACTGTAACGAGTGTTAGTGTAATATTTTATCACTTAATTATGCAAGTTAGGTAATGTTAAGGAATCATGATTATTGTCGAAGTTATAGATCAAAGTGTGTCCTTGTTTATTTCAATGAAGTAACAACTGACCGCAATACAAAATGGCAAATATTAACCTTTTCTTGAAGATCAGAACCATCATCTCCTGATGCAATGACTGCTCCTGCCTTCAGCAAGCTGTTAAGACAGGAACCTAAGTTTTCTGCAGATTGGGTGACCAGCGGTACCTTTGCCACTTCTTTTGCTTGAGCAGTGTTCCATAAGAATGATGTCATTGAATCAATAGCAGACAATGAGGATCCCTATCAATAGAAAGTGTCGTCAGCAACAGCTCTTATCTGCTTAAGTTCTTGTCTGCTTGGCTGAATCTGAGGCTAAAATAGCTTATCATGACTTGTTGTAGCTAAAATGTCAAGAGTCGAGGGCAAACTGTTGAGGTTCGAGTGTAAAATGTCGAGGGTGGAGGGTAAAATGTCGAAGGTACAGGGTACAATGTCGAGGGTTCAGGGTACAATGTCGAGGGTCCAGAGTAAAATGTCGAGGGTCCAGGGTAAAATGTCGAGGGTCCAGGGTAAAATGTCGAGGGTCCAGGGTAAAATGTCGTGGGTCCAGGGTAAAATGTCGAGGGTCCAGTGTAAAATGTCGAGGGTCCAGGTAATATTCCTCAGGATGTGAGATTGGAGAAATATTTAGAGAAAGCAGGAAAGGGGAATCCCCTTTTCTGTTCATCTCCCCTTTCCGCAACCCAACATCCTCCTTCTATACCCTCAACATTTATTTTGCGTCAGTCACTGAATGAAAATTTATTCTACATCAGTCACTGAATGAAAATTTGTTTATAAAATCAGTTTGAAGTACCCAATATGGTATTCGCTCTCTTCATTACACTGGTTCCAACTTCTGGAACTCACTACCAATTACTATCAAGCAAATTACTCCATTTTCTAGATTTCGTAAAACCAAAAAAAAAAAACATTATTGACAGTCATGATAATAGGACAGATGAATTTTACTCGTTTGTCTCACGGTGGAGTTACTTTGAGATGTTGATCGCGACATTTCGACTGCTATACTGCTGGTCTTCATCAGGTGATGAGGTCGATTGTTTACGTGTCGCTATTTGTAACACCTTGGTTCGCTGCCATTGGCGCATTTCGATCCTCCTTATTATTCCGACTCTGTGACGCTGTTTCCTCATAGGTCTACATTGTAACTGGGCGGCTGTTGTGCTTTTTGATTGTAGGTATCCATGCTTCAGGAATTTCGGTTCCACTATCTCTATTGATGTTATTTGGATGAAGTCATATGGATAGCTTCCTTGACCCTTCTTGTGTACCGGTGAGGGTCACAATCAATAAACTTGACTTTATCCCAAATGGGTAAAATGTCCCGTCTCGTTGGTGTGCTCTGAAATTGCAGAGGTTTGTGTACGGGACATTTACCCATTTGGGACAAAGTCAAGTTTCAACATCTCAAAGTGACCCCATCGTAAGACAAACGAGTAAAATTCATCTGTCCTATCTTACACCACGATGAATACTAGACACATCTTTAATGACAGCTATAATAATATTATTAGTTCTTAAGTTGAAATGTAGGTATTTTTTTTGTTAGTTAGATCTTGAAGAAATACTTTTAACCTAAATTGTTTATTTAACACTGTATTCCTTCGGCTAAATTAAGTTAATTTGGGGCACCTACTCGATTAGTTCCATAAACTATTCAGGTGTCTCAAACACCACACAGTCAACCTTGTATTAAAACTATTTGTCTTCCGTTATATCTTTTTCTTTCTCTCTTTAACACTTTATTTTTTAATCACAATTGTAAATTATTTCATTAATGCTATTTAGCATTCTCTATATGCAATTTGTATGATATATTTATATGTATTCTATTTTTTCCTGACACCTCTGTAAAAATTAATCTTTGTGAGAGTTTAAATCAAAATTGAATTGAATTGAATTGAATTGAAGTTGCTCACCAGTAACTTGAGAGACACTGTTTCCTGAAGAGCAGACCCTATAATGGAGGAGCTTTGCAAAAGGTCTGGAAGACTTTTCACTTGCAGTGAGACAATCTTTTCAATGATGAAGTCTTGAATCTGCGATTTATAAAAATTATAGGGAGAACATTGCCAGATGAGTTTCTGTACTGACATTTCAGCAAATTCCAAAAACAAATAATTGTTCAGAATTTGACTTAAAGCATATCTCATGATATGATAATAATAATTAAAAATGATATAATAATTATGATAAGAACCTTCCCATCATCTTTTGCAGCTGAAAAATGTGCAGTCATATAACTTTAATTTTCAGTTTTAAGTCCGGGAGAGTACCACATTATGAGAAAATATCTCTTTTTATGAAATATATATTTTTCGCAAACCTGGTATGATGACATCATCAGTCACGTGAATATGTCTAAAAGGTCGTTTTATCTCAGTGCGAGGACTCGCATTAAACAATTAGAAAGCACTTCACATATTTTAAAGGGTAATGTTATTTAACAATTATTCGCCGAAGGCAAAGTGATCATTCGTGAATACTCACCAAGACGAAGTCTGGAGAAATATTCGTCTCAGGGAATATTCAGCAATGTTCACTGAGCCTGAGGCGAATAATCGTTTTATTAAAATTTTCAAAGGTGAATATCAAGGACTACAGAATAATGGACTAAATTTTGTTTGTTAGACTAAATTTTGCCGTGAGTTGATTTTGTTCTGCCGTGACTTCATTTGGTTTTGCCGTGAATTCTGTTTTAACTTAACTGAGCGGATGTTTTTTTGCTGTGAATTGATATTATTTTGCCTGGGTTGATTTTGTTTTGCTTTGAACCTGAGTTGATTCTGTTTTGCTGTAAGCAGGAGCCATAATCGAGGACGGAGACCGTATGGCTCCAGCTGCTGTGAGTTGATTTTGTTTTGCCGTGAATTGATTTTGTTCTGCCCTGAATTGATTTTGTTTTGCCGTGAATTGATTTTGTTTTGTCGTGAATTGATTTTGTTCTGCCGTGAATTAATTTTGTTTTGCTGTGAGTTGATTCTGTTTTAAGTGAGCTGATTTTTTTTTGCTGTAAATCGATATTGTTTTGCCCTAAATTGCTTTCTTTTTTTTGCCTGAGTTGATTTTGTTTTGCTTTGAACCTGAGTCAATTCTGTTTTGCCATGAATTGATTTTGTTTTGATGTCAACTGAATTCGTTTTGCCGTGAGTTGACTTAGTTTTGCGTAAATTGATTTTGTTATGCCGTGAATTGATTTTTTTTTCCGTGTTAAGTTGATTTTGTTTTGCAGTGAATTGCTTTTGTTTTGCCTTGGTGAGTTGAATTTGTTTTGCTGTGAGTTGGTTCTGTTTTGCCTCACCGACAGTGAAAAGAGAACGGCAAATTTCAGGAACTGTGCCCTGCTTCACAGACCTCACTTTTCCCTCGTGAAAAGAAAAGTAAAATACACATGTGCACGCAAGCTATGTTTTTGGCAAATCATATAGTTTTGATTTCCTCATGTTTGAACGCGATGAACTGAGATTCCCTTGTTTAAAGAACTCAAATGTTCATTAGAACACTTCACATTTAATTAAAATGCTAACATGGTCATTGATATTAAGCAAATTTAGGAGAGGACAGAAAAATAATCAACCAATTAAGTGATGAAATGTATGTACTAGTTGCATTTTATATTCACAACTGTATAAAATGTTTGAATCTGATTTAAATGTACAGAAAGCATTGACACCCTAAACCACTGCCACCCATCAGCAAATTTTACTATGGAGGTGGACAGCAATGCCTCGCTTCCTTTCATCGGTGTTGAACTGTTAAACTTAGCTCCTACAATCAAGACCAAGGTCTACGTAAAACCAACCAATACGGGCCTCTTATTCCACTGCCAGAGCCTCGTGGATAATCGGTACAAGCGCAGTCTAGTTACCACCATGTTAGATCGAGCTTACTGCATGTCTTCCAGCTGGTCGTACTTCTCACAAGAATGCGATCAACTTGAGACCGCATTCTTAAAGCTTAAGTACTNAGCTTACTGCATATCTTCCAGCTGGTCGTACTTCTCACAAGAATGCGATCAACTTGAGACCGCATTCTTAAAGCTTAAGTACTCGAGGCACTTATTCAATTTGGCTGTCAAGCAATTCGTCGATTCCAAGGTAGCAGACCAGCAGCACATTCCATCAACCGAAACGACTAACCCACCATCCGAGTTATCATACCATTGAAAGATCAGGCCTCTGCTAATGTAGTGAAGAAACGTCTCACAGACCTCAGCTCAAAAATCAAGACCACAATTCAGCCCGTGTTCATCAACGGAAAACTCAACGAAGACCTTAAAGTTCGAGAAGTCAAGCCAGCCACTGTTAACCAACAATGCATATGCCTAGTTTATAAATATCAATGTAACCTGTATGATGCAGGATATGTTAGTTACACTCGCGGCCACCTCCATGAACACGTTGATGGACACAAACAAAAATCGTCGTCAAGTTTTAAACATTGTTGGAGCGAAAATGCCTCCTTGTCTTTCAGAACAATTTCACCTGCTTACTAAATGTTCTAACAAATTTGATTGCCTAATTGAGGAGATGCTTTTTACAAGAAAACTTAAACCATCCCTAAATGTGCAAACGGACTCCATTTGCGCAAAAGTATTCACTTGAAGAACTTGTGATCCTTTCTTTTTATGCTAATTTGTAGAGACTGTAAAGAAATCAAATCTTTGCATTATTTATTCACTTTGCCTTGAGAATGGTGTCACAATGACGCAGAAACGTCGGCTTTTAACGTTAATATTCGCCTGCTTATGTTTTAAGAAATCATTAGTGATCAAGCCTTTAGAAAGAGAACTGAACTCGTAATTAAATTTACGCTCATCTGATGATATGTAGACTACGAGTAGTTCCACTTCCGCTTAGTCCATCGAGAGCGACCGTAAATAAACCACGAGGAAAAAATGGCCGCGTGAAATCCTGGGGTCGAGAAGTGCTTCTTGCCCCCAGGATTTCATACAGCCAATTTTTCCCGCGGTTTTCTTTCGCGTCACGTTCGACGGACTAAGCAAAAGAGCGACTACTCGTAGTCTAGATGAAATGATAACTTTGGACCTATGGTGCAGAACAAACTGCATGAATATTTAGATAAACAGCAATTTAATGAAAGTTAATTAATACCGTGGATTTTTTGGTTGAATCCATTGTAGTATCTTCTAAAAGTGCTTGAAGGACTGGATTTGCTATCTGTTCTGCCTTGCTGAGATCCCCATCTTTGATTGCGTTACTAAACTCGCTGTCATTTGCTGTTATGCGTCTGCTGATTTGATCTGGTCTCAAGAGTTCTGGAAATGGTTCAACCTACAGGAATATTCATGTACAATATGTGACAAAATATTGGTTGTTAAAAGTGACAACCTGGTATTTAATATGCATGTAATGTGATGCAAGAGTTAATATAATCAAGGATACATGTATACTGTACCTGCACAGACAAATGAAATGTTGGAGCAGACACGCCATTTTTATCAGTCACTGTGACATTGAACTTCACAGAATAATTCCAAGACAGCTTTCCAGATGGCAGCCACGAGTTAACACTACTAC